ATGGAGCTTCTCTGTTAATATTTTCTTTTCTATATAAATATGTTACATTTTTCTTTACCATATGTCATAGCACTATTGTTTTATTATATATACTAGGCTATTCCATAAGTTTTGAAGTTTGATTTTGATAAGAAAAACACAATTTTATAGTTTGAAAAACACTTTATTATTTAGTATTATTATTAGTCTCCCTAAACATCAATACACTTGTCCTAACTCATTGCAATCGTATTACCGCGATCTTCTTTGAGTATTGTCTGCCGTTAGATAGCCGTACTGAGTCGCCATTGATGAGATCCAGTCTCAAGAAATCGTCGGTAAGATGTCTGCACAGTTGAACGGTTAACATTCAATTGTCTTTTCACGTCCGTTTGGCTTGCTTCATTTGCATGAAGAAATACACTTCACTGGGAGGAGATAGTGTAACACTAAGATATCTCACAAACTCTTTAGAACACTGTAGTAGTTCAAACAGTTCTCAAAACAATTAATTTCATGAAGCTTCGTGATGACTTCTGAGAATTTTATGGCTTCATAGGTTTTGTCTTCTTCTTGGTCTACTACTTTCCGGTTAATTTCCTGGGAGGTAGATTGCCCAAATATTCCTTTATCTGTTAGGTGATCTTCCGGGAGGTCTTAAACCGGCGGGTTGTTTTCTATGGCAATTTTTGGGACTCTATTCTCATCCATTCGTCTTACATGATTGTACCACATCCTCTTACGCTGCCTTCCTCATCTTACAATATCTTTAATTTTGCACTGCTCTCTAACATTTGTATTTCTCACCCTGTCTCTTCTTGTTTTGCACACAATTGTTCTTAGGGTTTTCATTTCGGCAACCCTTAGCATCTGTTTTGTTTTGTTGGTATCTTCGCGCACTTCTATGCCATATGTCATAGTCGTATGCAAGTCTTGTATATTCTAATTTTACTATCTGTGTGCATATACGGATTTGAACAGACTATCTCCCGCAGACATCCTGACAATGGGGATGCTTTGTTGATCTGACTCTTTAGGTCCTTTACTGGGTCGTGTGTGTGCTTGATATATCTATGTCCAGATATCTGAATTGCATCACCTAATCTATGGGATTGTTCTCAACCACTAACTCACATCTGAGCGGATCTTTTGCTATTGTCATACATTTAGTTTTGTTGGTAGAAATGGTCATATTTAGTTGACGGCTTATTTGAAAGAACTGAAAGAACTGTCTCTGAAGATCATCTTCTAATTCGGCAATAATTGCTGCATCATCTGCGTAACACACCATACCAATGCTTTTGTTGCTCATTATTTATCTGAGATTGAGATATGTTACTTTGTTTATAATTTTGCCCATGAGTAGGTTAAATAAGAAGTGGCTTAAACTGCCTTGTCTAATTCCTCCCGGTGTTGGAATATTTTCAGTAAATTGGTCTCCTATTCTAACTTTGGTTACATCGTTATTATTTGGGTTATGGACTATCTTTGTTAGGTTGGTCGGTGTTTTATTTTCTATTAATATATTTAGAATGTTTCCCAGGCGAACCCTGTCAAACGCCTTCGTCAGATCAATGAAGCAAATATACGCTGACATGCCGAACTCTATAGCTTTTTCTTTTATTTGTTTTATTATGAATACTGCATCTGTTACAGACCGCCCTCTTGTAAAACCTTGTTGTTCTTCAGCATTAGTGATTTGCCTTTCCAATTTGTCCTTAAGAATACTCGTGAAAAGTTTCATTGTTATATTTAAGAGGGTTATTCCTCTGTAGTTTTGTGGGCAAGTTTTTTGTCCTTTTTTCAATATGGGGATTGTGATGTTCTTATGCCATTCCTCTGGCGTTTCTGTTTCGTTTAAGATTTTGTTAAATACTCGTGACAGTTTACTTGCGAGTTCAGAGCCTCCATATTTTAAGAGTTCATTGGTATACCATCTGTTCCAGGTGATTTTTTGTTTTTTATCTTCTTGATCTTTGCTTCTACCTCTTCGTCATTGATTGTAGCACTTCGTATTCGTTTATATTCAGCGTTTGTTCAGCATCATATAGCTCTTTAAATTGCTGTTGCCATGTCTCTATAGGTACTCCCTTGGTCTGCACGAACTCGTTAACTGGTTTTTTCCTGTTCCGAAGAATTTTCCATACTTCCTTTTGGGTACCATGTAGATTGTAGTCCATGTTGCTGGTATTTAGCCCAATGTTCTTTTTTGATTTATTTTATTATTGCGTTTACTTCGTTTCTTACTTGGACATATTCTGCGAGAGCTTCTTCCGATTGTGTGCTTTTATATCTCAGGTAGCATTTGCGTTTTAATTCAGAGAGTTCTTTTACCTCTTGACAAAACCACGGTTTGGTGTGGTTTATCGCCATCGTGTTAATTTTCCGCTTTCCAATTGCTTCTTCTGCTTGGTGATGCATTTCCTGATTTTTGCCAAGTATCTTCTACTCCCCATTTTGGTTGTAACTCGATCTCTTTTAGTTTGCTTGTAATGCTGTTCTCATAAGGAGTTTTGTACTCTCTGTTGCTAGCGACTCTATATTGTGTTTTTCGATGAGCATTGGGAGCATTGTGATGGAATAGGTTTAGTGATTTTGTTTATTCTCTTTAAAGGCTCGGTATAGCTTCTCAATACACGTGAGAATTCATTTAATTTAATTAACATAACTTAAAAGAAAATGGAGAGATATATAAAAAAATATAAAATTTCCTAGATTTTGAGGGTGACCCGATTTCTCTTGCGCACAGTATATATATATATATATATATATATATATATATATATATATATATATATATATATATATATTATATGTTATGTATTGGAGCTTATGATTGAAAAAATTAGTGTCAATTTTCGAATAGTCAAGAATCACTGTAAATTTGCTCAATCTTTAATTTTGTTAATTCAACATCCAATTAAGTATTGTTTATGACACAACAAAGTATTCATTTACAATTGCCGATACATGATTATCCTTTAAAATGTGTAGGGTTCCAAAAATAAACACAAATTAAACCAAATTCGTTTCATCCCATCGCAACCCTCGTTTGTATAAACAACTGACCATTAATGGAACTACCAATTCAACGTGTCACATCGTTCAAATATTTGTGCACCGTGGTAATAGGAGGTCTAGGCACGTTGTTAATTCCACTCATCAAAAAATAAATGTGGAAAATACACAGCGGTTAGGATAACCAGAATTTGTTGCCTTTGATCTAGACACATTATACCGTAGGTATTACATAACAAGCGTTGTAAGTAATATAAATATTTTGCGCGAGTGAGAAAAGTTACGCAAGCAGTCCTGTAGCGACAAATGTCTAATTGCATTGTGTCTAAAACATTGTGCTTAATGTACTCTCTAATAATGTTCTGTAGTTATTTTCTTGTAGCGTCTTAAGACAATTTACTATTTTTACTGGGAATTAACCTCAAATTTAGGTTCTCTCTCCATACCTGACCCACCGGAGGGAGTGTAGTGGTCATCTTGATGTTGTGTATTGTCCCTCTCCAAAGATCTTTGTCGCTGGTCATTTCTTTTAACTCATGCATAGGCCTTTTGCATGTGCTTATAATTTGATCGATCCATTTTGTTGGAGATCTTCCTCGTGATCTTCGGTCTTCTACCTTTCCTTGGATAATAAGTCTTCATGTTTTCTGTGTCTGCTGTCATAACATGTCCAATGCATTTTAATTGTTGGAGATGGACTTTTAGCTCATTTAAAATTAAAATGTTTGTCCTGTGGTCGGTCTAATTCTTAACATTCTTCTAAAACATAACATTTTGGTGGCGCCTACTTTTCTTCTTTCCGCTTGTCGTAGGGTCCAAGGTTCACATCCGTATGTCAGTATTGGAAATATTAAGCAATTGATCAACCTCATTTTTAGTGACCCTGTGTTTGTAATCAAAATATACTTCTTTTAGTATCTGCCATAAGTGTTGCCATTTGACCTTGTCGAACGCTTTGCGATAATCTATAAAACAAATTTATAGTTGGGATATTAAGTTCCCAACATTTTTCTATTATTTGTCTTATGTTCAGAAGATGTTCTTGAGTATCTCTTTGGTATCTCCTAATTCTCGCCATTCATCTCTGTTGTTTGTAAGACGTTTCCACATTGGTCCTGCAGTCCTTTTAATCGTCGCTCCAGCAGATTTGTGGTCTTTTGTCTTCAATGTATAGCCGCCAATTCCCGATTTCTTTATTCCATCGGTCATCCTTAAGACGTTCGTTATGTCCAGCCCATTTCCATTTTAGTTTAGCTGCCTGTTCTACAGAATCTTTTACTTTTGTTAATGTCTTCATTCGTTTTATGGCATTTGAGTGAGATACCCAGCATCTCTCTGATCTTCTCCATGTTTATTTTAGTGAATGTCCAGGTTTTTGAGCTCCGTATGTAAGTACAGGTAGGATACAGGAATTAAACACGTTGGTTCGTAGTATTTGAGGTATATTTTTATTTTTAAGTACGTATGAGAGTCTTCCGAATGCTGCCCATCCCATTTTTACATGTCTGCTTATTTCGATAGTCTAATTTTCTTTGCTTTCCTTGACATTTTGACCCAGATATGTATATTCATAATGAAGATATGCATACCGCAAACCCAGAAATCGCAAATCGAGTTTTCTCTTGGGTATTTCTCTTTGTAGGAAAGTTTACGGTTTCCCATTGATTATCTATAGCATTATTTTTTATTGTATATATATATGTATATTATTAAACTTGGTATGACGTGCCAGTGCCAGTAATCCCATTGGCAGTGCATTTCGTCCTGCTTAATTACGTGGTCTGTATAAGATATCGTCAGGATTCGACGATAAAGCCTCATTTCGAAAGCCTCAATTTTCTTGCAGGTAGCGCCTGTGAGAGTTCACGATTCAACTCCGTACAACAGTATAGGAAGGATATAATATCGTAGTAACCTGATTTTTATGAGTACTGATAAATATAATAGCTTAGCATTTTTTGAAATGCAGATCTTGCTTTCTCTATCCTTCTTTTTATTTCTAGGGAATGGTCCCAATTTTCATTGACGTTCGTACCAAGGTAGGTGATGTTTTTTCTCTTTCTATTGGTTGACCATTCATACTGATTCTAATTTGCTGTTCCTTCTTAGAGATCATCATACATTTTGATTTCTTAATGTATAGTGAAAGTCCATATCTCTGACTTACTTCTGTGATTCTATTCATTAACTCTTGAAGGCCTTCGTAACTGTTAGCGATTACCACCGTGTATTCCGTGATAGTATACGACCCTGTCGGACTCCACGTTTGATTTTGATATCATCTGATTCTCCTGCATCTTTACGGATAGACTATGTTTGATTCCAGTAAAGATTGCTAATAATTCTTAGATCACAGGTGTTTATTCCAATATCTGTTAATATCTCCATCAGCTTGTCTTGTTTTACTGTATTGAAAACTTTATGGTAATCAATGAAGCATGCATAAATTTCGCTATTCACATCTCTACATCGTTGAAATAGCACTTGTATGCTAAAGATGTCGTCTTCGGTGGAATTAATAAAAGGTGGAAATGTGACTGTTATTAATTTGTCTTAACTATTGCGCAATATTGTGCAATATTGCGAAGTTAGTCCGAAACGCTCTTATGTGTGGCATTGTCTTGAAAAAGACAATGCTTGTAGGTTTATTTACTTGTTGAAATAAAACACAGGATTCTGAGTAAGAAAAAAACTCAGCTTCAGAGTCTTAGAAAAATTTGCAGAGTCCTTCAAGTGAAGAGCTCTAGGGCTACCCGCTAAGGGTAAAACCGCACTACCTCGAGATCCGAAAATGTCCCATATTTAAAGATATTTTAACTTTTATATGAAACTTTTTCGTTTCTTGTCCAATAAAATTTAATTAAAAGTTCCAGAAGGAAGGGCGATGCACATCGAGGTGCGTGATTGGTGGCACCTGTTGACAAAGAGAGCCTCTCTCGTACCCACTGCGTTCCGAAAACTAAACTGTGTACTGCTGATTTTTTCTTTGCATAGTCAATATATTCTTTGATGTATGCTTTTTATATAAACTTTAAAATCTTGCTCATTAAGCTGATGGTCCGAAAATCATTGCAGGATACGGATTTTGTTTTCTTTGGTAGAGCAGTAAACGTTGATTTCACCCATGATCTTGGTATTAAATATATGTCATTAAATAGTTTTGTTCGTCTTTGAGTACCGTCGGTGTTAAATAGCTTTATGAGTTCAACATATGTATTGTCAGGTACAGGAGCTTTGCTATCTTTTAGTTGTGATATTATTTTTACCACTTCATCTGATGTGATTGGTAAGTAGTCATTACATACGTATGAGGGAGCTTGTTCGGACCTATTATCATCAAATAGTTCAAGTATGTATTGGTCCATAGGCATATTTCTTGATTTTTATCTATGATGAATTTTATAAACTAATAAATCCATCCACAATTCCAGCTTTTTTAAGAAAATACCCTTAGGCACAATGTAAAACAAGACATCAAAAAATACAAGTAAAATAAAATAGAACAGTTAATATAACGGAACAGTGATTTACTTTTAGATCAAGTAAAACTTGCATAAAACAAAATCGCATGATCTTGAACCTTTACCTTTTTTACATTACAATTTTGTTCACCAAACAATTGTACAATTGTTAAACAAAAATTGTTGTCTCCTGACGAACTCCTTAGTTATAGTTGATCCGTATATCACGTTTACTGAAAGTGATAAAAAGTTATATTCAGTAACGATTTTCTGACTAATTCTAGGCATTATATACTCATATTGAAAATACCGAAACACATTTACGTATAAAAGATTATCTGCAATACAACTTTCACTTATGTGAGTCATTAAATCCATTCATGATTGGAAATATTGTTTCAACCGACCTTTCAATATCATCTATTACGTGTAAACAATTTATTAATGATGTTTAATATTTATTTCCCTGACGTTTTAGATAGAGAAAATTATTGTTCAGAATGTTTACTATTTTTCCTGTTTAAAGTCACTGATTACTCAAACTTCTTCTTCTTCTTCAGATGCAAATCCACTAATGGATGTTAGCGATCACATTTTCCATTAACTCTCTATTTCTTGCAATATGTATCAGAGATTGTATGTCGTTAATCCCTGTCCATTGCCTTATGTTTCGGAGCCAGGACATTTTCTTGCGTCCCATTCCTCTCTTGCCTTCAATTTTACCCTCGATTATAAGTTGGAGGAACTGGTATTTTTCATTTCGCATGATGTGGCCTAGATACGCCGTTTTCCTTTTCTTGATGGTTTCGAAAAGTTGGCGTTCTTGGTTTATTCTTTTAAGGACATCTATATTTGTGATTTTCGCTGTCCATGGTATTTTTAGGATACGGCGATAAAGCCACATTTCGAAAGCTTCCAATCTGTTTATATCTCTCGTTTTGAGTGTCCAGCCCTCTACGCCATATAGCAGCACTGACCATACGTAGCACTTAGTAAACCTTAGTCTCAGTTGAAGATCGAACTCAGAACAAGTCAGTACCTTCTTGAATTTTACGAAAGCTTGTCGAGCTTGCTCAATGCGACATTTTACTTCCCTGTCCGATGCCCAGTCTTCAAAAAGCCACGATCCCAGGTATTTAAATTTACTCACTCTTTCTATGGATTTACTATTCAGTGTTATGGTGGAGTTTTCAAATGCATCCAAGTTTCTGGAGATGATCATGAATTTGGTCTTTTTGGTATTAATCTCTAGTCCCATTCGCTCACTGTATTCTCCGATTATAGTGACAAGTTGTTGAAGATCGACTATGTTGTCACAAATTAAGACACCATCATCAGCATATCGTATGTTGTTGATCAATACTCCATTCACCTTGATTCCCATCTCTGCATCCTCCAAAGACTCTTGAAATATGGCTTCTGAATAAATGTTAAATAAAAGAGGGGAAAGCACACATCCCTGTCGAACGCCTCTTCTTATATGTATGGGCTTAGATATAGAATTGTCTATTTTTAGCTGTGCCGTTTGATGCCAGTACAAGTTTTCAATGCATCTTATGTCTTTTTGGTCTATATCAACTTTCTTGAGAATCTGCATTAACTTGTGGTGTTGGACACGATCAAACGCTTTTTTGTAATCTAAAAAGCATAGGAACACATCCTTCCTCTGATCGTAACAATTTTGGACCAGTACCTGTGTTGCTACTATTGCTTCTCGTGTTCCTAAACCTTGCCTAAACCCGAACTGGGAATCACTGATGTCCCTTTCACATTTTTTGTATAATCTTTGATGTAGTAGATTACTCAAACAAGTATACCGAAATAAATAAGAAGAAACCGACCATTACGAACATTACAATAACTTGAAAGATCCAGAAATTTGTGATAGTAAAACGAACGTTAGAAATAACGAAAATAATTTTCCCAATCACAGCGAGAAACGAAATCATATTTCGTTTTTCGGTGTGATTTAGTTCACACGTATTTGAATGATTGATGTCAAGTACATCTTCAAACCAGATAGAATAATAAAAGTCAAAAAATTTCGGCAAATGATACAAAATATGCAAAAATTAGTCTTAGTCGTTAACCTGATGCAGGTATCGTGATATCATGAAGCTATTAGCTAAATTTCCCAATGTTCCTCCACGCTTTCCTATCTTCTGCCATTCTAGCACATTCTGACAATGGAGCGCCAATGGTAGCAACAATATGGTCCGTGTATCGTGTGGGAGATCTACCTCTATTTCTTTTGCCTTCTACTTTTCCCTGGATGGTAAATTTTTTAAGACCATTTCTTCGAAGCACATGTTCAAAATAGCTTATTATTTGTTCTGATATTTGTGTTCTTAGTCTTTTCTTTATGTCTATGTTCTTTTTGTCTTTCTCAGTAAGGGTCCAGCATTCCGATGCATAAGTAAAAACTGGAAAAACTAGACTTCTTACTAGTCCCATTTTTGTATCGGCAGTTATTTCATGGCTTTTCCAAATTTTTTTTTAATTTTGCCATAGCGCTTTTTGCGATTGCTGACCGCCGCTTTATTTCTTCAGTACAGCCTCCTTTGTTGGTTATTAATTAGCCCAGATACACAAATTTATCTACAACAGCGATATTGTTTATCATGACCAGATGATTTTGATTGTTGTTAGCTCTGTCAATTATCATGATTCTCGTTTATCTCTGTTTATTTTAAGGCCCATCGTTAAGCTTACGTCTTCTATCCGTTGTAGCAGGTGAATCAATTCAGCTTCAGAACTAGCGAGGATAGTAGTATCATCTGCATATCTCAAGTTGCAAATCTTCTTCCCGCCAATGGTGATGCCACCGTTCCAGTCCTCAGTAGCTTTCCGCATTATCCATTCACCACAGATGTTAAATAGAACTGGGCTTAGTATGCAGCCTTGTCTCACGCCCTTTGTGACCCTGAAACTATCGGTTAGTTCCCCATTTATTCTAACTCTGGCATGATTGTTATTGTACAGGCTTTTAATTAGCAGTATGAGATGATTCTTCTTTTTAGAGTGCCGTCTCCCTACGGAGGTTGGCAATCATAATGGCTATTTTTATTTTAGAACTTGCTGTTTACTGTAGAACTTTATCAGATGATTGGGGACTCCCATTTCAGACAAAACCTGCCACATTTTACTCCAGTTGACCAAATCGAAAGCTTTACTATAATCTATGAAGCACAAATATGTTGTGATGTTGAATTCTCTGGATTTTTCTACAATCTGCCGTACGCTTAAAATTTGTTCTCTAGTACCACGTCCAGGGACAAACAAACTTGTCTACATAAAAAGAAGAAGAAGAGAAAGAACCAATAATAATGTCAAAGTATAAAAAGACCTTTTTTAACTTCATCAAACGCTATTAAAGCATAAAAAGTTCTTTGATTTACATTACAACTAGTTTTATTCAATTTTGTCAATAAAGAGTAGTTTTCATCCCTAAAAAATAATAAGCATATATCGGCATAGGGTAGACTTTGAATTAAGAGCTAAACAGAGCATATTCAAAAAAGTTCAATAAAATCTTTGCATTAAGATAGAGATCGGAGGTAATATGCTATTTTGGTTTT